TGGGGTTGATGAAGGGGTTCATGATATATGGCTAGATTCTTGATGGATTAATGGCATGAATTCCGTTTAATTTGTGTGTGAATAATTTAACTGATATCTTTTGCAACCTAGATGGCCACTAGAATTACAATTGCTTATAGAATAAATTAAGAGAGATCTAATTTATTCTAGGACACATTCACACACACTTAATCGTTCGCTAAGAGATTAGTAGCGATTGAGGGGCCGTAAGCTCGCTCGTTTTGGCAATAATTTAGGATCTTATCGCATGAGAGATCAGCCTGGACCCCTAAATTATTGTACTCTACGCCGCGAGAGCGGTAAGAACTTAGTAATGATTAGCTAGGCTCAATTAAATTAAATTCATGTGATTAGGCCTGTTCTGCCAGAAATCTGGTTAACCCCGGAATCAATTCCTGTTCCCTTTGTCGTTAATTAAGGAAAACCAAATCTTTTTATTCGCTCATTAGTTTTAGTTTAATTTTCCACCCAATCAAATCTCGCACGACGCATTTATTTTATTTCTTTTTAATCGCTGAATTTAATTAATTCTTGATTCCCTTTTGTCCGTCCCTGTGGAGACGATACTCGTACTTACACCACTTTTCTACAACTATTTTAAGTGCGAGAAAACTCACATCAGGTACTCTTGCTTGTGGAGCGAGACTTCTACATTATGAACATCATCGATCTACCTCGCCCGCACTCTTTTGGAGCGTGTGATCATTTTTTCCCAACTCATCTTCAGTACCCAAACCTACCTCAGTGGATGCATCAACGTCATGACTCATCTGCTCCTTGCCCTCCTCGTTAGGTGCTGAGACTAATGGTAAATCAAACGGCTAGGGAGTTTTTGTATGAAAATCGCAGTGGTCAGTGACTTCATCAGTTACAACTTGTACCGTTTGAAACTTTTTCATGTATTCTTGGAAAAACAACTCGACACTACTATCTTCTTGTTCAAGTTCAGACATAGGTGGGTCTTCAAAAGCATCAGGAAGTGAATCATTCATCATATTCCCACCATCATAGTCTGACGACTCGCTCACGTGATCATCCCTATTGGTCTCCTCAGATTGGACTCCTACCAGGTTACTTCTTATGGTATTTATATCCTTCATCGTGGCAGAAGTGCTCTGCTTTATGGCTGAAGTGCTCTGCGTTATGGCTGAAGTGCTCTCCCTCATCATCTCTGTGTACTCAGACAGAATCTCTGAAAGTGTCTTCTTATATTGACCTTGTGGCTCATTACATGGCAAGGATGTAGGAGTGACTGAAACATGTGTGCTTGTAATTTGTGGGGAGGAAGAAGTGGGGTATGCAGTTGCCCAGTAAGGTTGGTCGTATGGAGGTTTAACGGGGTAAAAAGATATATGGCGACATCCTCCACAGAAGGAACATATATTATTCTTAGGCAGACAAGGTTGCGTGGTTGGAGGGTATGAATAAGGGAACTGATAATTTTGTGGTGTAGGAGAGTAATTTTGATGAGGAGAATAATATTGATGATGAAGGTAAGGAGGATATGGCGTGCATGGTGAATATTCCATGGAGGTTTGATGGTAAGGAATTCCTCCAGAGAAGTAATTCATCTCATGCCTCTTTGAAAATTACCAGAAAAATCCTACGAGAAACTAAACAACTAACTAAAAAAAATCTCGCTGAAGTTAATTAACCCTTAAAACTGACACCGTCCCCGGCAACGGCGCCAAAAACTGATGTGAGTTTTCTCGCACTTAGAAATATTGTAGAATAGTGGTGAAAGTACGAGTATCGTCTCCACAGGGACGGACAAAAGGAAATCAAGAATTAATTAAATTCAGCGATTAAAAAAATAGAATAAAAATGCAATTGTGCGAGATTGATTAGTTGGGAAAATTAAACTAATGCAAAATAACGAATAAAATAAATGTGGTTTCTTCATAATTAACGATGAAGGGAACAGAGATTGATTCCGGGTAACCAGATTTCTGGCAGATCAGGCCTAATTACATGAAATTAATTTAATTGAGCCTAGCTCATCATTACTAAGTTCTTAACGCTCTCGCGGTGTAGCATTTAGCAAATAGTTCTTTGAAGCTCAGAATTTTTTTATAACAATTTGCTTAATGCTTTCTTTCGCCATCATCCTTCAAATTGAAGACTCCTCATCTTCCATTAAGATTGTATCCACTTGAACCTTTTGAACATCCCCCTGTGTTGATGATTAAGTCCTTTAAGACTTGGTACTTTACAAATGGACATTCTTAGGACAGTATTATTAGCCAAGATAGCTTTTTAACAGGGCGCTCCAAAATTAGGACACTACTAGTTTAGTAGGTAGCTCCAATTTTTACTAGGACGCTGCAAGGAGGCAGGGTGCCCCTGAGTAAAAAGTCCATTTCTAGAGTTTAAAGTCCCCCCCCCCCCCAACCTGTGAAGCTCTTCTCACAAGCAAGATGAATTTAGTGATGTGTGCCTGGTACTCTAGTGTAGTTACCCCTCACTTAAATGTCCTTTAATTGATATATTGATGATACCAATTGACATATGATTAAGGAGGAATACCTATAAGTCTTTCTGGCATAAATATTCCTTCTTCAAGGTGTGTCAACATTCAGAGTCTTGGTTTGAGAAATAGATATGCTAGGATTCTTCCTCTGGCTTGAAATATCTCACTGTTGTAGACATCATCAAAATGTACTTCTAGTGCAATAAACATTTAGCTCTGGAGCAGAAGGTCATTTCAGTTGGTAATAGCTCCTGTTGTTCCAGGGAGCTGAAATTCTACCAGCAGTTTTTCAGCAGGCAGCTGGGAGCTTGCTGATTTTCCACATTGAGAATTCCTTCCTTCCAGTGAGCACAATTTTGATGACATCTTCGAGGACAAATGTCTTCCTTTTTCATAGACTGGCAGGTGCTCAATAGACAACTCTTTATTTATTAACATAAGTTGTGTGAACAATCTTAGAGTTTTAGTTTTGTAGTGCTCCAGTCTTGACGTCTTCTTTCCACTCCATGTTCCTATCACCTTTGTTGATCTTCCTTTTCCACTTCAAGCAGTAGTATCCCAAGTGATAACGTTTAAAATCAACATTCATCTTTCGATATTCATAATTACATTTTGATATCATCTAAGGTTGATGAGTTTCAATTGATAATTAATGAAACCATTAGATTTCAGTTGGGTTTATTCTGCTTGAATTCTCCCTTTATATCATTGAATCTCTTCTGAACCTTTTAACCCCAATATCAGATAAGCAGGATGACCACATCACTTTATCATTTTTAATTTAGATTTAAATAATTCAACTGCTATATTCTCATTGGTGCATGTGGACAAAGGTATGGTACCTTATGGGTACCATAGAATCTACCACAATACTCCGTATTACGAAGTACAAGCTATGGCTCTAGGATTAACTTAATTTATGTTTATAAATACGGAGTAGAAGAAATTGTAGAAGTGTAAAAGAAAGTGGAAATCTAAAAATACTAAAACAATTAAATATGCAATTTAAAAAATGTACAAAAATGTAAAAAATAATGAAATACTTAAAAAAAAAGTAGAATAAATAATTATAACACAGTATTAAAACTTAAAAAACATTAAAAAAACTGTAATTGGTTTTTTTGGAAGAAAAAACTTTAATTGGTTTAGAAAAATATAAAAATATATTCCCGGAGTTTTAAAAAATAGCTAGACAACACAAAAGATTTCTTTTCAAAAGTAGTATCAAGCCTAGCTGCTTGCTCCTTAGCGTACAAGTCCTATATTATCACTTTGCTTGAATCAGTAAACAAGAGAAAGTGTTCAAACGTAATAATGTTATAAAATGTGGAATATTTGGGATCATTGGAAAAAATATAAATGTGTAAATTTCAAAAGCTGAAAAAAAAGTAAAAATGTTTACAATAGTAACAAAAAAACTACGAAAGCTCAAAATAGTACTTGTAACTTTTTTATTTCTTATGATATTAAAATATGAAAAAAAATGAATTAATTTTTTAAATCGAAAATTAGAAAAAGATGCAAAAATTAATACAAATGTTGAAACAATGAAAACGTCAGAAAAGTTAATAAAAGTAATATAAAGGAAGAATAAAAATAAAAATAATAAAAGAAATATTAAAAATATATAAAAATATAAAAAAAATACAAAAGTAAAATATGAATTTTTGAAAAAGTAAATTCGTAAGCAGTAGAAAACTCAAATATCAAGATGTACAACTTTTAAAATAGTAAAAACGTAAAAAAAAACTTATAAATATTACTCCTTCCGTCCCGCTATGATTGTCCCACTTTACCTTTTCGGTCCGTCCCACTAAGATTGTCTCATACCTTATTTGGTAAAGTTTGTATGGTTCTAAATCATTCCTACTTTATTCTTACTTTATCAATTCAATACCAACCACATAAACCCACTTTTATTAATAATCGTGCCACCTTCTCTTGTCCCAAACTTAGGGGGACGGAGGTAGTACAAAGAATGATTTTTACTAATTTGGTAAGGAGTTACCAAGTCATTGTCATTGTCATTTTTACTAATTTTTATTGTCATATTTTTATTTTTTTGTTGTTGTTGCATGTTGTTGTTGTTTTGTGTTTCTTTATGTTTATTTTTGTTGCAAATTTTGAATAAGTTGTTTTTTATTGTTTATTCATCGTTTTGTTGTTGATATTCATAAACAAAATATATCCTTTTAGGTGATTGGATATCTATAAATGACTTTTTTATTCCAAAGAAGTACTGAATGTAAGTACAAAATTAAATAAATAGGTAAAATCAAATATATTCAACTATAAGCAACACAATTCAACAACAGGAAACACAAGGAAACAAAAAGAAACACATATAATACAACAAAAAGCAACAAAAAATAACATTTAAACCTATCACATAATTTATTATCAAGAATTTATTACAGTTATCAAGTATGCTATTCGCTTTGCTTCTTATCATCTCTTATTTTTATGCATCTTTTCTCAAATTTAGCTATTTTGTCTTCTTTTTCCCATTGATCCTCTTAATCTTATTATCACCTCCATATGTTTCTTTTCCTTTTATGCATCTGCAATAGGAATACAATTAATATAAATTATGACAATAAAATAAGCAATGTAGCATACTAATTGTTTATAATAATATTTGTAATCAAAGGTATAATATAATCTTGCCCAAAATTTTCTTTTATCTTCAAAAAATTATTTACAATTCGCTACAAAAATGAAGCTACAATAAGACAATATTGAACCTGTAATGTTTGTAATCATACTCCCACCAATCCCTACATTGCTACGCAAAGAGTAATGACTGTCTTGAACTATGTGCTTCCACTCAATCAAAAGCATCTTTAACTTCTTTAGAATAAACTTAACATCTATAAACGTTGAGACTTACATTATAACAAGCAAGATTAAGTCTAACACCCTTGACAGCAATGTTTTTCAGGAACATCAAAGCATTGTATATCCACTTAAAAGAAAGTAGCTTCTAGCAAGATTAAATGGGTATAGGTTCATCAAACACATTGTAGCCATGTTGTTCTCCCTTTGAGCGTTTCTGAACATTAGCCTAATGCTAAAGCACATTAGCTCATGCAAGCTTCATTGAATCTGATATTAAAATATCTAATTTGGGATCATCGATAATTACACTTACCCAATTCTGATACAAATATGTTAAATAGCCTTATTATATACGAAGTATTTTACATAGGAAACCAACTAGCTTGATCTTTTTCGCTATCTGTGCAACATGATTGAACTCTGGCATGGTCCAATCACTGTAGTTATGAGCAGTTTACACTAACACTCATACACACATTATATTGCGCACATTAACTCACCATATTAGTGAACTTTTGGAAGAAAAACAAAAAACTTTCGGTGAAAGAAATCCAGCTCAAATGAACTACACATTTATAGCTCACATTAAGTAGAAATTCAGATTTCGCAGAAGTAATTATATTGCACCACACGTAATTTATTCAGCTGTACATATTTGAGGATGTCAAGGATTTAAAAATCTTTACTCGCTTTTTAGTTTTTTTCTAGGTTGGAAACCAGCACATGAACAACCAAAATAAATTAAACCTGCACAGTACAAACTCTCTTTTTTTTTAGCGCAAATACACAATGCTACATTGAAAAGTGAATAAACTGTTATGCACCTATGATGTTAACAGGAAATTAGGCATGCATTAAACCACGCTTTAATCAATGTCGAAAAACCAATGTGCAACCAACCATTGTATAAGAAAAATGTACGGATCAAAATGATACATAGGAATGAAAAATAAACATGGTTGAATATTCTCTCTTATTCCCAAAACATGTTCTATCAAAACCATAGAACCTGAAACTTATGAAATGCTACATTTGGAAAATGAAAGCAAATCGGTCTGGTACTGAATCGCCAAAGGCGTTCTCTTAGTTGGAAGCAGAATCAATGTGAATGTAACTTGACTTGATTATTTGGCTGAAATTAACTTTAGCAAACGATTTTCCTTTAGGAAATTTCTGAAAATTCAGTCATTTTAGTGAAAACGCCTCTTAAGAAACAAGTTCTAGATAACTAAATCCATGATTATTGAACACTACAAACCTGTCGCAATCATTGTGGCCATAGCGGTATGATGATTTAACATGACATCAACTCCTTTACCTATGAACAAAGGAATACTGGTCACTGGATCCTCTTCCCCTTCTAAGTTCTAATACGTTTAGGAGATCCCCCATCGACAGAAGGAATCTTGGATGACTGACGGATTGATCATCTGCCTGCCTTACAACGCTGTGACAATGAATCCGACACAACTCCATCATCAGTGCCCAATCATGGTCCGGTCTCGCCGTCGGCTCTCCCAGATTTTTTCACTGAAGCTCCCCTACGGCTTATGAAGGAAGACGTTGCCAGAAATGCCTAAAACTGAAATATAAAAAAATGAAAATAAAAAAGTTTAAAAGTAAAAAGGCAAAACAATTGGGACATTAATGATATAGGCTACAAAAGTGGCCCAAACGAGTAATTTCCAAAAAAATACATGAACAATAAAATGAGACACGGAACATGCACGCAACCTTAGCAAGTGCATGAACAAGGGGAGGTTGCATGCCATAACCCGACTATAACCCGTGCATAGAATTTCATTTATATTTCTTGATTATTAATATATATAATTTGATCATCCATATCATTATTATCCCACTTGTATTTCTGTTTCTTTAGACCATCATTTTCTTAATAATAATAATTAGCAAGTTTTGCTTCAAAAAAAGTGTATCAATTATTCAATTAAGGTTCAGTCTCATTCGAGAATATAAAATAAATACACGTTGAAATATCCTTACTCTTTAAAAGGAAAAACAAAATTTTGAATTAGAATATTACTATATTAGCTCAAAATTATACTACACAAAAAACAAAGTAGAGCTGACTTGTCACTAGATGTCCGACCTCCTACGCAAGCAGCGTTTTCTTCGACGGTCCACGAGCATGCATGCATGCCATTTGGACCATTCTCGCAAAGCTTCATCATTACACTACTCAGCTATACTAATAAACCACTCGGTGTGGTTAAATGCTGCTAAAATATAATTAAGTTAATCATGACTCGAGACTTATACATACCTAGTGAGCTTAGCTTCCATCTTTGCTTAGTTGCTTTCTTACTTCACTTCTAAAAAGTTCAAATTAAAAAGTGTCGTAAACCAAACTTTTGAATGGAGACGGGAACAACAATGGAGATACTCCCTGAGTTGTCTGGTAACGCGCGTGAGTTATTTAATATGATTACATGTAGTTTGCAACAAACTTAATAAATTCAAAAGTATCATGATGACACTCAATTAATTGTGTGGTCCATGCACACGGTTGTCGTGGTGTTAGTTCACGTGTGTGATCAATAGGGTCCATAATTAGGGTATGAAGTCGTTTAATTGTTAAAACACTTAATAGCATCATCTTTCGCTATTTCAATTATGTATAGTTAGGTTATTTCACTTGTGTGTGTAAAAGTAAAAAAGCAATTGGAGTATAAGCAGGGGCGGTTGCGTGCCATAACCCGACTATAACCCGTGCATATATTTTCATTTATATTTCTTGATTATTAATATATATCATTTGATTATCCATATCATTATCCCACTTGTATTTCTATTTCTTTAGACCATAATTTTCTTAATAATAATTAGCAAGTTTTGCTTCAAAAAAAGTGTATCAATTCTTATTCAGTATCATTCGAGAATATAAAATAAATACACATTGAAAAATCCTTACTCTGTAAAAGGAAAAACAAAATTTTGAATTAGAATATTACTAATTTACTATATTAGCTCAAAATTATACTCCACAAAAACAAAGTATAGCTGACTTGTCACTAGCTGTCCGACCTCCTCCGCGGGCAGCGTTTTCTTCGACGGTCCACGAGCATGCATGCATGCCATTTGGACCATTCTTGCAAAGCTTCATCATTACACCTACTCAGCTATACTAATAAACCACTCGGTGTGATTAAATGCTGCTAAAATAGAATTAACTTAATCATGACTCGAGACTTATAAATACCTAGTGAGCTTAGCTTCCATCTTTGCTTAGTTGCTTTCTTACTTCACTTCTAAAAAGTTCAGATTAAAAAGTGTCGTAAACCAAACTTCTGAATGGAGACGGGAACAACAATGGAGATACTCCTTGAGTTGTCTGGTAACGCGCGTGAGTTATTTAATATGATTACATGTAGTTTGCAACAAACTTAATAAATTCAAAAGTATCATGATGACACTCAATTAATTGTGTGGGTCATGCCCACAGTTGTCGTGGTGTTAGTTCACGTGTGTGATCAATAGGGTCCATAATTAGGGTATGAAGTCGTTTAATTGTTTAATTAAACAATTAATTGCATCATCTTTCACTATTTCAATTATGTATAGTTAGGTTATTTCACTTGTGTGTGTAAAAGTAAAAAAGCAATTGGAATATAAGCAGTGCGGCCCTGCATGTTTGAGGGCCCGAGGGCGGCCTTGCATGTTTGTGGCCCGAACTAGTAAACCACTAAGACTGGTTAAACACTAATAAAACATCTTACTATGGTTAATTTCATCAAGACTCGTGATTTATAGATATCCAGCCACATTCCATCTTTGATTTCTTACTTTAATTAGTACAAAAAGTTATCAAATAAAAAACGGGTTGTAAACCAAACTTCTGATCTAATGACACCAAAAACAACAATGCAGATTGTCCCTGAGTATAATTAACATTTTTTTCTTTTTCGGTGTTGTTTCCTTTACTGACACAAACTTATCTGTACCAGGAAAAGAACAACTCTCTAAATATATATTAATTTTGTATGTAGTAATATTCATTTTTAGCCTAAACAATCTCTAATTTAATAATGAAACATAAACCATTTGTTCAATTTCATTTTTATAAATGAGTTTTAAGGGAAACTTTTTGGGGGGCAAATTATATTCAAATAGCATTAAGAGAATCTTTGTCTAATAAATGAATAATAAAATGAGACATGGAACATGCACGCAACCTTAGACCAAAATTATACTCCACAAAACGACAAAGTAGAGCTCGCGTGGCGCTAGCTATCCGACCTCCTCCGCGAGCATTGTGGCCTTCGACGGCGTACGAGCATGCATGCATGCATTTTGGACCCATTCTACAGATCTTCATGATTATGCCAACCCAACTAATAAACCACTAAGTCTGATTAAACACTAATAAAACATCTTACAATTAATTAATAGAATCTTTGTTTAATGCATGAATAATAAAATATGACACGGAACATGCACGCAACCTTAGCAAGTGCATGAACCAGGGGAGGTTGTGTGCCATAGAATTTCATAATCCTTAATCAAATTCTATAACCTGTGCATAGAATTTCATTTATTTTTCTTGATTATTAATATATATAATTTGATTATCCATATCATTATTATCCCATTTGTATTATTGTTTCTTTAGACCATCATTTTCTTAATAATAATAATTAGCAAGTTTTGCTTCAAAAAAAGTGTATCAATTATTCCATTCTTGTTCAGTCTCATTCGAGAATATAAAATAAATACACGTTGATATATCCTTAGTGGAAAAACAAAATTTTGAATTAGAATATTACTATATTAGCTCAAAATTATACTCCACAAAAAACAAAGTAGAGTTGACTTGTCACTAGATGTCCGACCTCCTCCGCGAGCAACGTTTTCTTTGACGGTCCACGAGCATGCATGCCATTTGGACCATTCTCGCAAAGCTTCATCATTACACCTACTCTGCTATACTAATAAACCACTCGGTGTGGTTAAATGCTACTAAAATATAATTAAGTTAATCATGACTCGAGACTTATAAATACCCAGCGAGCTTAGCGTCCATCTTTGCTTAGTTGCTTTCTTACTTCACTTTTAAAAAGTTCAAATTAAAAAAGTGTCGTAAACGAAACTTTTGAATGGAGACAGGAACAACAATGGAGATACTCCCTGAGTTATCTGGTAACATGAGTTATTTAATTTGACTACGTGTTGTTTGCAACAAACTTAATAAATTCAAAAGTATCATGACGACACTCAATTAATTGTGTGGGTCATGCCCACGGTTGTCGTGGCTTTAGTTCACGTGTGTGATCAATAGGGTCCATAATTAGGGTATGAAGTCGTTTAATTGCATCATCTTTCACTATTTCAATTATGTATAGTTAGGTTATTACAGTTGTGTGTGTAAAAGTAAAAAGCAATTGGAATATATGCAGGGGCGGTTGCGTGCCATAACCCGGTTATAACCCGTGCATAGATTTTCATTTTTATTTCTTGATTATTAATATATATCATTTGATTATCCATATCATTATCCCACTTGTATTTCTGTTTCTTTAGACCATCATTTTCTTAATAATAATTAGCAAGTTTTGCTTCAAAAAAGTGTATCAATTCTGATTCAGTATGATTCGAGAATATAAAATAAATACACGTTGAAATATCCTTACTCTGTAAAAGGAAAAACAAAATTTTATATTAGAATATTACAAATTTACTATATTAGCTCAAAATTATACTCCACAAAAAAACAAAGTATAGCTGACTTGTCACTAGCTGTCCGACCTCCTCCGCAAGCAGTGTTTTCTTCGATGGTCCACGAGCATGCATGCATGCATGCCATTTGGACCATTCTCGCAAAGCTTCATCATTACACCAACTCATCTATACTAATAAACCACTCGGTGTGGTTAAATGCTGCTAAAATATAATTAACTTAATCATGACTCGAGACTTATAAATACCTAGCGAGCTTAGCTTCAATCTCTGCTTAGTAGCTTTCTTACTTCACTTTTAAAAAGTTCAAATTAAAAAAGTGTCGTAAACCAAACTTCTGAATGGAGACAGGAACAACAATGGAGATACTCCCTGAGTTGTCTGGTAACATGAGTTATTTAATATGATTACGTGTAGTTTGCAACAAACTTAATAAATTCAAAAGCATCATGATGACACTCAATTAATTGTGTGGGTCATGCCTACGGTTGTCGTGGCCTACCCGGCGCCGGGTATAAGGCCTACCCGGCACCGGGTAAGCTACTGGTTTGTGTACATGTGAAAATCAACAAACGGGCGCCGGTTTGGTGCAAATTCCGGTGCCGGTTTTGTCCTGGGATTTTGGGGATGTTCCGCTACGAATTTGGACATGATTCCTTCACCAAAGTTGTAGATAATGAAGTCTTCTATCCAACAAAACTTGAATGACATGATTTTATTCATCCAATCAAGAGATATGGATAAAACACTGAGAGGTATGCATCCTGAAATCCCACCAGCAACATCTGACTTTGTTGGTTGATTGAGTCTTGTTCCTTTCATATTTTGGTCACGACGTCTTCATAGCATTTGTACCTTATTGATTTAGCATTCACATGAAACTCGAATCGAGTGATTTCGAGTTCTATAAAATACGTTATACTCAAATTATGGGCAGAACGTCATTCTCTTGGTCCAAAAAGTCGTTCATCGCAATGTTTTATGATCAAGCTCTCATTCTGGAGGTATTTGCCCGATTTCTCTTCTTTTCTTCAACAAATACTTATAAATACTTATGTTAAACACAAGTAAATATAACGGCAATCAAATCCCCCCACACTTGAGCATTGCTCGTCCTCGAGCAATTTCTTCACCTTGGATGCCTTGGTTAGTTTCAACAAAAATATATGCACAAAAATAATTTTATTTTTAAGGGAGGTATAAAATTATGTAAACTCCTTTATCATTCTCGGTCCAAAACCAAATTTCTATTAGACACACAAAACTATCATTAGATTTAGAAAAATTACTTATACACTTGAGAGTAGATGAGTGGATTGTGACTAAGACTTTTTGGGCGTGTAGAATGGCTTTTTGGTGTATTTGACTTTTCAATATAGAATTGGATCAATTGGAGTTCTTGGGAGAGACCATGAGGTTTTTTTTTTATAACTCATTTGAATTGGTTCTCAACAAGTATTTTCTGAAAGTCATTTTGATGATCCCAATTTATTTGATGAGACATGAGGGTGGCTTGTTTTCCAAAATGGTTCTTGAATATTTGAGATGTACTTAAACCATTTTTGGACATGGAAGAAGATGATGTTTCCTAGTCACAGGGTTTATTTTGGGAATGGTTTTCAAGAGTAAAAGTAGTGTAATAAATCTAAAAAAATGATAGTTTATGTGAATAATAAAAACTTTTTCAACCAAATACCCATTAAAAAGAGAATTATCACAACTTTTCCCTTCCTAAAAAAAATATTATTTTGCACACAAAATTTGTTTAACTAACCATGAGATGCACCCCCCATACTTGAGTTACGTTGTCCTCAATGTACATTGGAGGATGTACTGGAGGATGAAATCTTCAATAGCGGAATGGGCCGTCTTGTGAGAGTAGGAGATGCTTCTTTTTCTTTTTCTCTTTTTTTTGTTTTTTTTTTTGTGTTTTTTTTGTTGTTTCAATTATAAATAAATATGAATATGTATTTAACTAAACATATTTATTTATAATTGAATTTGTTGGGTTGCCTCCCAATTAGCGCTCAGTTTAACGTCATAGGCCGGACGCAACGTACCTCTCACGTGTGATTGTGCTCCCGATAACGTTTGACCAATGTTACCTTTTTGAGATCGTGGGGAGGCCATGGAGTTGGAGGTCTGTTCTTTTTTCTCTCGGGGTGTGTGGGAGGGTCCTCGGGCCCAAATATTTGTGCCTTCTTGATGTCCATAATGTTTATGGCCTTGGGAGGAGTAAAAGGATTTGTGTTGACCTCCATGTTTTGAGTTAGAATGGATTGTGTTTTCCATACATGGAATGTTTCATCGTCTTCTCCCACTCTTAGTCTTACGGTGCCCGCTTGTACATCGATGACGGCTGCGGAGGTGGCCAAAAATGATCTCCCAAGGATGACTGGAACTTCCATCTCTTCCATGTCCAAAACAAGAAAATCTACCGGGAAATAGAATTTTCCAACTTTCACAAGGACATCCTCCATGATACCTATCGGATAGCGGATTGTTCTATCCGCTAATTGCAAAGCAACCGTTGTTGGTTGGAGTTCCCCCACACTTAGCTTTTTAAATAGGGAGTAGGGCATAAGATTTATGCTAGCACCAAGGTCACAAAGAGACCTTACCTCCCCGATTTTTCCAATAGAGCATGGAATAGTAAAGCTTCCGGGGTCTTTGAGTTTTGGAGGAAGTTTGTTTTGAATAATGGCACTACATTCCTCCGTTAGTGCTACAGTTGCGAATTCCTCTAACTTCTTTTTGTTGGAGATGATGCCTTTGAGAAATTTTGCGTATGACGGAATCTCCGCAATGGCCTCCGCAAAAGGTATGTTGATGCTCAATTTCTTGAAAATATCAAGAATTTTCTTGTGTTTCTTCTCATCTCCTTTCTTCTTCAACTTTTGTGGATAAGGGATGGGAGGAACATATTGAGGCATAATAGGTGGCAACGGTGTATGTGAAACCTCTTCTTGTTCCTCCGGTGTCTTTCTTCTCTCCGGCATCTTGGGATCCTCCGTTTGCCTCCCGCTTCTTGTGGTAATGGCCATGACGCTCTCCCTCGGGTTTACCTCCGTAGTTGTAGGGAGTTTACCTTGCTCTCTAGAACTCACTTTTTGGGCGAGTTGCCCCAATTGAACATCAAGATTTCGGATTGACGCCTTGGTATATTGCTCAATGGTGTCGATGCGTTGGTTGAGCTTTATATTTTGATCTTCAAAGCGAAGATCCAACTTGTTGAATTGAGAGTGGAGATTCCCAATGGATGCCTCCACTCTACTATGGTTCTCTTCATTTTGAGCCTTCATGCTTTCCATGCTCTTGGATATGAATTGCATCATATCCTCCATGGTGGTTTCCTTGGACGGCCCAAAATTAGGTGCTCCAGATTGGGGTTGTGGCTTCCAATTGCTCCCTTGGTTCCACCTTTGTTGATTAGAAGGATTATTGTTTCCCCGGTTCCCATAAGAGTTCATGAAATTTACCTCTTCAAGATGTTGAGATAAATTGCCTTCCGGACTTTGAATGCTCTCCACATTAGCTATTTGCTTGACTCCTCCCAATACGGCTTGAAGGGCCGTTTGGAATTTTTGCTCAATTTTTTATTCCATTTGTTCAAGCCTTTTGTTAATCTCGGTTGTGATAGAGATTTCATTCATCCCGACCAGCTTGTAATCGCCTCCTTGAAGTTGAGGATTTGAGGCAATAGATTCAATGATTCGGAGTGCCTCAGTTTCATTTTTATTTCCACTGTAGCCCTCGGCTCGGTTGTCCACAATGGCTTGACAAGGTGCATTCAAACCATTGTAGAACATGTCAATTTGAAGGTCTAGGGGAATGCGGTGATGTGGGCATTCCCTTAGCAATGATTTGAAACGCCGCCATGCGTCTTGAAAGAGCTCACCATTTTGTTGTTTGAAATTGAAAATGCGTTGTCTAAGCTCTTGAGTCATGGTGGGCGTGTAGTACTTAGACATGAAGGCATTGTATATACCTTCCCATGTTGTGTAGCTTGCCGGAGCTTGCTCTAGGAACCATCCTCTTGCCGCCCCTTTGAGAGTATAGGGGAAGCATTTGAGCTTGAGTTGATCCTCCGCCAAGCCATTTCTAGGGATTCCTTGAATGAATCCGTAGAACTCCGTGATGAAGTTGAGTGGATTTTCCCCAAGCAAACCATGAAACTGAGGCATAGCGTTGAAGTAGCTTTGCCTTAGCTCATAGTCTCTTGCTTCCTCGCTCAAGGTGATGCAAGATGGCGTAGCGGCCACCACGGGTCTCTTCCTCTCATTCAAAGTTGGCAACATCTTTGTAGCTTTTTGCTCCCTTCGAATGTGTTTGCAAGTTTTTTCTATTTCAAGATCAAGTGGTTCAAGAATTTTAGAACCTTGACCTCTCAATTGCATGCAAACACAAGGGAATATCTACACAAGAAAAAAAATCCTTCCAAGATCAAGTGAAGTTGTGAAAAATAAATTCAGGATTTTTGATTGGTTGATTGTTTGGACTTTATTAAACAAGACCGTTTCCCCGGCAACGGCGCCAAAAACTTGACCGGGCTGAACTTGCAAGTGTACAAGTGCCGATATAGTAATAAATTCCGGTAAAATACCGGGTCGAATCCACAGGGAAACGTTGTTTAATTTAGTCCGCGAGTAGATGACTTTGAATAAGTAAATGAGTAAAGTGCAGGGATTTTGAGTTGTGTGTTGTTGTGAAAACAACAACTTGGTTCTTCTTTTTAATTTTCAGAGATATAACTTGAATTAATTTGATTAAAGTGATTGATAACAACAACTAAGGCTTCGGGAATCACTTAAATGCTTTAATAGGGTTGAATATTAGTTCTTTACCAATAATTATGAATACGATGTCGCTAATATATTCTCAACTCCGGTTAAGGCAGCGAAAGCGTGGTTTTCGTTACGTGTAAGTCCCGTTACGGCTTACATTCATCTACCGAAAACCCCGTTGAATATCAAGACATCACACCCGTATCATATAATACCGGATATATTTCTATTCTCGGTAATATATATGTTTATCCTTTAATGTTCATAGTTTAGACCTCAACGTTAATTGCAAGCATAAACTAAGTTTAACATACTTCTATGTTGTATACCATAATCATAAACAATCAAAATGTAAAGGATAAATCACAATTTATTGGTTTAGAACTTTTATCAAACACCTAGTGGGCATAGAAGTTCATCCCTAGCCTTAGCTAAGAACTTAGCCTCTAATGCTCATATTAATTACAAAAGTGTAACTAAGATAAAGGAAATACAATAACATACAAGAAATAATACCTAGAACCAATTGTACAGGAGAGAAATGGCTTCTTCTCCAAACTTCAAGAGAATGCAAAAATAAAATATAAAAACTGAAATTTAAGCTTCAAGGATGGATTGATGATCTTGTTTGATTAAATGGGGGGCTTTATATAGGCTAAAGATTGACATCTTTTAGTCTATTCGAGCCCAACAATCAAGCATGGAAGATATATTTGATTAGCTCATGAGGAAGGTGAGTTTTTTCCATCAAAATATTTCAGCACGTTCTTTTGTATTTGCAGGATCAGACCTACCCGGCGCCGGGTTCAGGCCTACCCGGCGCCGGTTCTTCATTGTGCGCAGGGAAATCTGAAATTTTGGCCTACCCGGCGCCGGGTATAAGGCCTACCCGGCGCCGGGTAAGCTACTGGTTTGTGTACATGTGAAAATCAACAAACGGGCGCCGGTTTGGTGCAAATTCCGGTGCCGGTTTTGTCCTGGGATTTTGGGGATGTTCCGCTACGAATTTGGACATGATTCCTTCACCAAAGTTGTAGATAATGAAGTCTTCTATCCAACAAAACTTGAATGACATGATTTTATTCAGCCAATCAAGAGATATGGATAAAACACTGAGAGGTATGCATCCTGAAATCCCACCAGCAACATCTGACTTTGTTGGTTGATTGAGTCTTGTTCCTTTCATATTTTGGTCATGACGTCTTCATAAAATTTGTACCTTATTGAGTTAGCATTCACATGAAACTCGAATCGAGTGATTTCGAGTTCTATAAAATACGTTATACTCAAATTATGGGCAGAACGTCATTCTATTGGTCCAAATAGTCGTTCATCACAATGTTTTATGATCAAGCTCTCATTCTGGAGGTATTTTCCCGATTTCTCTTCTTTCCTTCAACAAATACTTATAAATACTTATGTTAAACACAAGTAAATATAACGGCTATCAGACACCAGAAACAACAATGCAGATACTCCCTGATCATAATTAACCTTTTTTTCCTTCTTGGGTGTAGTTTCCTTTACTGACACAAATTTATCCGTACAAGGAAAAGAACAACTCTCTAAATATATATTAATTTTGTATGTAGTAATATTCATTTTTAGCCTAAACAATCTCTAATTTGATACTGAAACATAAACCATTTTTTCAATTTAATATTTATAAATGAGTTTTAAAGGAAACTTTTTGGGGGGGCAAATTATATTCAAATAGCATTAAGAGAATCTTTGTCTAATAAATGAATAATAAAATGAGACACGGAACATGCACGCAACCTTAGACCAAAATTATACTCCACAAAACGACAAAGTAGAGCTCGCATGGCGCTAGCTATCCGACCTCCTCCGCGAGCAGTGTGGCCTTCGACGGCGTACCAGCATGCATGCATGCATTGTGGACCCATTCTACAGATCTTCATGATTATGCCAACCCAACTAATAAACCACTAAGTCTGATTAAACACTAATAAAACATCTTACAATTAATAGAATCTTTGTTTAATATATACATGAACAATAAAATGAGACACGGAACATGCACGCAACCTTAGACCAAAATTATACTCCACAAAATGACAAAGTAGAGCTCGCATGGCGCTAGCTATCCGACCTCCTCCGCGAGCAGTGTGGCCTTCGACGGCGTACGAGCATGCATGCATGCATTTTGGACCCATTCTAGAGATCTTCATGATTATTCCAACCTAACTAATAAACCACTAAGTCTGATTAAACACTAATAAAATATCTTACAATTAATTAATAGAATCTTTGTTTAATACATGAATAATAAAATCAGACACGGAACATGCACGCAACCTTAGCAAGTGCATGAACCAGGGGAGGTTGCGTGCCATAACCCGACTATAACCCGTGCATAGAATTTCATTTATATTTCTTGATAATTAACATATATAATTTGATTATCCATATCATTATTATCCCACTTGTATTTCTGTTTCTTTAGACCATCATTTTCTTAATAATAATAATTAGCAAGTTTTGCTTCAAAAAAAGTGTATCAATTATTCAATTCTAGTTCAGTCTCATTCGAGAATATAAAATAAATACACGTTGATATATCCTTATTCCTTACTCTGTAAAAGGAAAAACAAAATTTTGAATTAGAATATTACTATATCAGCTCAAAATTATACTCCACAAAAAACAAAGTATAGCTGACTTGTCACTAGCTGTCTGACTTCCTCCGTGAGCAGCGTTTTCTTCGACGGTCCACGAGCATGCATGCATGCCATTTGGATCATTCTCGCAAAGCTTCATCATAACACCTACTCAGCTATACTAATAAACCACTCGGTATGGTTAAATGCTGCTAAAATATAATTAACTTAATCGTGACCCGAGACTTATAAATACCCAACGAGCTTAGCTTCAATCTTTGCTTAGTTGCTTTCTTACTTCACTTTTAAAAAGTTCAAATTAAAAAAGTGTCGTAAACCAACCTTCTGAATGGAGACAGGAACAACAATGGAGATACTCCCTAAGTTGACTGGTAACATGAGTTATTTAATATGATTACGTGTAGTTTGCAACAAACTTAATAAATTCAAATGTATCATGATGACACTCAATTAATTGTGTGGGTCATGCCCACAGTTGTCGTGGCGTTAGTTCAAGTGTGTGATCAATAGGGTCCATAATTAGGGTATGAAGTCGTTTAATTGTTTAATTAAACACTTAATTGCATCATCTTTCACTATTTCAATTATGTATAGTTAGGTTATTTCACTTGTGTGTGTAAAAGTAAAAAGCAATTGGAATATAAGCAAGGGCGGCCCTGCATGTTTGAGGGCCCGGGGGCGGCCCTGCATGTTTGTGGACCCAACTAGTAAACCACTAAGACTGGTTAAACACTAATAAAACATCTTACTATGGTTAATTTAATCAAGACTCGTGATTTATAGATAGCCAGCCACATTCCATCTTTGATTTCTTACTTTAATTAGTACAAAAAATTACCAAGTAAAAAAAGTGTTGTAAACCAAACTTCTGATCTAATGACACCAGAAACAACAATGCAGATACTCCCTGACACCAAAAAAAGAGTGTTATAATTAACCTTTTTTCTTTTTGCGTGTTGTTCCCTTTACTGACACAAACTTATCCGTACAAGGAAAAGAACAACTCTCTAAATATATATTAAGTTGGTATGTAGTAATATTCATTTTTAGCCTAAACAATCTCTAATTTGATACTGAAACATAAACCATTTGTTCAATTTAATTTTTATAAATGAGTTTTAAAGGAAACTTTTGGGGGGCAAATTATATTCAAATAGCATTAAGAGAATCTTTGTCTAATAAATGAATAAGAAAATGAGACACGGAACATGCACGCAACCTTAGACCAAAATTATACTCCACAAAACGACAAAGTATAGTTCACATGGCACTAGCTATCCGGCCTCCTCCGCGAGCAGTGTGGCCTTCGACGGCGTTCGAGCATGCATGCATGCATTTTGGACCCATTCTACATATCTTCACGATTATGCCAACCCAACTAATAAACCACTAAGTCTGATTAAACACTAATAAAACATCTTACAATTAATAGAATCTTTGTTTAATATATACATGAACAATAAATTGAGACACGGAACATGCACGCAACCTTAGCCAGTGCATGAACCAGGGGAGGTTGCTTGCCATAACCCGACTATAACCCGTGCATAGAATTTCATTTATATTTCTTGATTATTAATATATATAATTTGATTATCCATATCATTATTATTCCACTTGTATTTCTGTTTCTTTAGACCATCATTTTCTTAATAATAATAATTAGCAAGTTTTGCTTCAAAAAAAGTGTATCTATTATTCAATTCTGGTTCAGTCTCATTCAAGAATATAAAATAAATACACGTTAATATATCCTTACTCTGTAAAAGGAAAAACAAAATTTAGAATTGGAATATTACTATATTAGCTCAAAATTTTACTCCACAAAAAACAAAGTAGAGCTGACTTGTCACTAGATGTCAGACCTCCTCCGCGAGCAGCGTTTTCTTCGACGGTCCACGAGCATGCATGCTTGCATGCCATTTGGACCATTCTTGCAAAGCTTCATCATTACACCAACTCAGCTATACTAATAAACCACTCGGTGTGGTTAAATGCTGCTAAAATATAATTAAGTTAATCATGACTCGAGACTTATAAATACCCAGGGAGCTTAGCTTCCATCTTTGCTTAGTTGCTTTCTTCCTTCACTTATAAATAGTTCAAATTAAAAAAGTGTCGTAAACCAAACTTCTGAATGGAGACGGGAACAACAATGGAGATACTCCCTGAGTTGTCTGGTAACATGAGTTATTTAATATGATTACGTGTAGTTTGCAACAAACTTAATAAATTCAAAAGTATCCTGATGACACTCAATTAATTGTGTGGGTCATGCCCACAGTTGTCGTGGCGTTAGTTCACGTGTGTGATCAATAGGGTCTATAACTAGGGTATGAAGTCGTTTAATTGTTTAATTAAACACTTAATTGCATCATCTTTCACTATTTCAATTATGTATAGTTAGGTTATTTCACTTGTGTGTGTAAAAATAAAAAGCAATTGGAATATAAGCAGGGGCAGCTCTGCATGTTTGAGGGCCCAGGGGCGGCCCTGCATGTTTGTGGACCCAACTAGTAAACCACTAAGACTGGTTAAACACTAATAAAACATCTTACTATGGTTAATTTAATTAAGACTCGTGATTTATAGATAGCCAGCCACATTCCATCTTTGATTTCTTACTTTAATTAGTACAAAAAATTACCAAGTAAAAAAAGGGTTGTAAACCAAACTTCTGATCTAATGACACCAGAAACAACAATGCAGATACTCTTTGAGTATAATTAACCTTTTTTCTTTGGTAGATTCTATGGTACCCAAAAGGTACCATACCTTTGTCCACATGGACCAATCAGAATGGTGCAGTTGAATTATTTAAATCTAAAATAAAAATGATATACGTATTTGGAAAAATCAAGTGAATGGTAGGTACGGTACCCCATTTTTTAAATGGGTACCGGAGTTCTCACCTTTTTCTTTTTGCGTGTTGTTTCCTTTACTGACACAAACTTATCCGTACAAGGAAAAGAACAACTCTCGAAATATATATTAAATTTTTATGTAGTAATATTCATTTTTAGCCTAAAGAATCTCTAATTTAATACTGAAACATAAACCATTTGTTCAATTTAATTTTTATAAATGAGTTTTAAAGGAAACTTTTTGGGGGCAAATTATATTCAAATAACATTAAGAGAATCTTTGTCTAATAAATGAATAATAAAATGAGACACGGAACATGCACGCAACCTTAGACTAAAATTATACTCCACAAAACGACAAAGTAGAGCTCGCGTGGCGCTAGCTATCCGACCTCCTCCGCGAGCATTGTGGCCTTCGACGGCGTACGAGCATGCATGCATGCATTTTGGACCCATTCTACAGATCTTCATGATTATGCCAACTCAACTAATAAACCACTAAGTCTAATTAAACACTAATAAAACAACTTACAATTAATTAATAGAATCTTTGTTTAATGCATGAATAATAAAATATGACACGGAACATGCACGCAACCTTAGCAGGTGCATGAACCAGGGGAGGTTGCATGCCATAACCCGACTATAACCCGTGCATAGAATTTCATTTATATTTCTTGATTATTAATATATATAATTT